TGCTCCGCGTATTCCCTCTCCTCCAATCACGCGCCCGGGCATCAAAGGAGGAGCAGCAGCGGATCCGAATGGCCGATAAGCTAGATGATTACTCCGAGGCTCCAGGGGACTTCCTGGCAGCACCAGGAGAAGATTTCCAGGCAGCAGCCGGCGATTTCCAGGCAGCAGCCGACGATTTCCAGGCAGCTGCAGGTGATTCCCGGGCAGCAGAGAAAACTTTTTCGGACGAGGGTATTCACGCGCGGTCGTCCCTCCGCGGCCTGGTCAGCAGCGCCGATATCCTCCGCAACCCCTCAGCTTTTCAAGAGCTTCTAGAGGGGAAAGGTGGGCGGTGGGGGGGAGAGGGGGAGGGAGAGGAGGAGGGTGGAGGAGGGGAGGCTGGGGGGTTTAGTGGAGGTTCAGGGAGTCCAAGAGCCCAAGGGAGGGAGGCGAGGCTTGTAGACGAGAGGCTAAAGGCGCTGGGAACGAGTAGCCGAGAGAGCAGCGAAGAGAGAAGCCGGGAGAGCAGCCAGGAAGGAAGTGAAGAAACCTCCAGCAAATCTGGTCGCAGCTCTGGTAGTAGGTCTGGTGGAGGCAGCTCTGGTAGCAGCTCCGGAATCAGCTCCGGTAGCAGCTCCGGAATCAGCTCCAGTAGCAGGTCCGGTGGTAAACCTGGTGCGGGCGGCTCTGGCGAGATCCCAGTGGTGCAGTTTCTGCGGGCTCAGACGGGGTGTGGGCCGGGGCGGTACGCGTACGAGACGATGCGGCAGGCGCGGCGGGTGAACTCGCGGGTGATCCTCATCGGGCCGGGGAAGTGCAAGCGCGTGCTAGAGCGGGTGGGCGTGGAGATGGAGGACTACGACGACTACATGGGCGTGGAGGAGGAGTTTGAGAAAAGCGTGGGGGAAGTTGTGTCGTACCAGGTAAGCCAAACTGGGTGGGCCGGAACCTTTGACACAGGCAGGCTGTACTGGTTAGTAGTAGGTATCTGGCCAGTCAACAGCTGGAGGGGGTGGGCGTGGTGGTTGGTTGAAGACTATGACGAGTACAAGGGCGTAGAGGAGCAGTTTGAGAAGAGCGTGGGCCAAGTCGTTTCGTACCAGGTGAGCTGAGGGATCACCTGAGTGCGAGGTTGTTAGGTTTATGCGACCTGTGCTGGGTCACTTGAGTGCTGGAGGGGGTGGGCGTGGAGATGGAGGACTACGACGAGTACATGGGCGCGGAGGAGTTGGAGAGGAGCGTTTTTGAGAATTCTCAAAAACAGCAAAAGCGTGGGTGGGAGAAGTTGTCTCACACTGGGTCAGTCGAGCTCTTGTGATAGTTAGTAATCCAGTTTAGTTTTGAGGCTCCTAAAAAATTTGAGGCGCCTCAAAACTAGACTCTTGTGGTGATACTAATCCAGTTTTGAGATGTCTCAAAAGTAGAGTGCGGGAGAAGTTGTCGAATGGACTCAAAACCACCAGGTCAGTCTATTTCTTTATGGATTGTGCCTTGCTGCTCTTCCTCCCCCCCTCCCCCCCCCCCCTTCCATATCCCCCCTTCTACCTCCCCCTTCACCCTCCTCCCTTCCCCCCTGTGACACGCTGCTCCCCCTCTTTACCCGTTGACCCTCTCTCCCTCTCTCCCGCCTGTTGGTCCATATTGCCAGGTCCGCTGGTTCATCCTGCTCGAGCTCATGCGGCGCTGGGGCTTCACGGCGTGCCGGGTAGCCGTCTCCCCCCCACTCACTTTGGCCCCACTCCTCTCCCCCACTCCCCCCTGCCAGGTTCGCTGGTTCATCCTGCACGAGTTCTTGCGCCGGTGGGGCTTAACGCGCATGTTCTACACGGACTGCAACGTGCTGCTCTCCCTTTCCCCCTCTCCCTTCCTGCTCCTGTGCTGAGGCCTCTCTTGACCTATTGCCATGTCCTCCCCTCCCCACTGTCAGGTCCGCTGGTTCATCCTGCACGAGTTCATGCGCCGGTGGGGCTTTAAGCGCATATTCTACATGGACTGTGACGTGCTGCTCTTCGCCAACGTGACACAATTCGTCCAGACCCACCTGCCCAAGGCCGAACTTGCTCTGGCCGTGCGAACCCCCACGTGAGTGAGTCATACTTGCTGTGTTCCTTGCAAGTAGGTCTTTACTACCTTGCTGTATTACCAAGTGAACACCACTGGGGTGCCATAGTACTTTACGCGGCAGCAACTGCAAACGCATAGTAAGAATTGTCCTTGAACAGCTAGCTTGAAAGCTCTGTGAAAACGTGAGTCCAATCATACTTGTGTTTCTTGCTTTACTACCTGCCATTTCGCACCTCCACTCTCTGCTGCTTTAGTAATTCTTCTCAGTTTGTTCTCCTTGTTTAGATATACCTTTCTGTCCCACTCACCCTCCTCCCTTCCCCTCCTCCCTCCCTGCAGCATTCACGTGAGGGCAGTCAGTGCGCACGTCTCTCTCTGGTCGCAGGAGGCACTAGCAGATTTCCTCACCTTCTTCCGCCTCTTCTTCCAGGTAGGCTCCGTCCTTCCCTCCCCCCTTGTGGTTGGTTGTTAGCACTCTTTAGCGGCTGCAATGCAACAGCTAGACTCCATTCTGATCGCAGCAAGCACTAGGAGACTTCCTTCCTCAGCTTCTTCCGCCTCTTCTACCAAGCATGGTCTTGCTCTTTCCCTCCCCATGTGGTTGGTTCTTAGCATTTTCTAGCATTTGCAACCACCAAGCTGCACTCTGGTCACTAGCAAGCACTAAATTTTCCCTGACTTCTTCTTCAATCGCGAGTACAACGAACTGGTGGCACAGAACTCAGCCAACGTCAAAGGCCGCTGTTCCCCCTTCTCTCTCCCCCCCCTCTCCCCCCCCCCAATGCTTGCAGCATGCAGTGGTAGGAGGGACCCCTGGAGACCGCTCCCTGCCAGCGCAGCGCGCATACAACGACATGGTGGTGCTGGGGTGGTATGCCGCTCCTGTGTGCTGGACTAATGGACCCAGGGATAACCTTCCCAAGGACGTGAGTGACGAATGGGGGGTGTGCAGCGTGCACATGTGTTCTAGAGGGCAGCCCAGCCAGCGTGCATACAACGACATGGTGATGCTGGGGTGGTATGCTGCTCCTGTATGCTGGACCAACAAACCGAAAGGCAGATATCCCAAAAAAAGATGTGAGTAGCGAATGGGGGGTCACATGCTTTGTTGTAGCCTTGCCATTTTTTAGGCGCCGCAAGAATAGACTGCAGCACACTGCCATACTGTAGCATGCAGGTGCATACTAGGGAGTGTCAGCGCGCATACAGCGACATGGTGCTGCTGGGGTGGGGTGGTATGCCGCTCCTAGGTGCTGCGCTGTGCTGGACTAACACACACACCCAAGGGCAGCATCTCAAAAGATGCTCGCACGCACAAAGTCGGGCGCGCCTTCGTTAAGATGACCACACGCACATGCATCTCAATTGGGAGCCCAGCCCCAGCGTGCATACAGTGATGTGGTGGTGCGGCATACCACTGGAGCGGCACCACCACGTCTGCTGGGGCGGTATGCCGCTCCGGTGTGCTGGACTAACACTCCGGAAGACATTATCTCAACTGCGAGCTATCTTTTTTGCATCCCCGCCTTGCCTCTCCTCTCTCCTTCAGTGCCTGGGGCCATCTATGAGAACCATGAGTGCCAGAATACGTGGCAAGTGCACCCCGGACTTCAAGCCAAACCACCCCTCTCCCTGAATGTTGCACATCCCCTGCCTCCCCCACCTCTCCCCGTCCCCCTCCCCTCCTTCTCCCCAGTGCCTGGGCCCATCCATGAGATCCACGAGTGCCCGAATACGTGGCAACTTTTCTCCGGCCTTCTAGCCAAACCACCCCTCTCCCTGAATGTTGCACATCCCCTGCCTCCCCCACCTCTCCCCGTCCCCCTCCCCTCCTTCCCCCCCAGTGCCTGGGCCCATCCATGCGGACCATGAGTGCCAGAATACGCGGCAAGTTCACCCCGGTATTCAAGGCCCAGTTTCCCCCTACATCCAGATGGGCTATGATGACTCAAATTCCCCTGTCTCCTCCCCCCACCCCCTCTCCCCCCAGTGCCTGGGCCCATCCATGAGATCCATGAGTGCCCGAATACGTGGAAAATTCACTCCGGCCTTCAAGGCGGAGTCTCTCTGCGCTCCCAGGCAATGCCAGAAAACTACTTGGAGTGATGCTGGCTGGTGTGCCTTTGACAACAACTTCTCTCTCACGGTGAGTGTGGGTGTGGGTGCTCCCAGGGTGTTTTGAGAATCCTTAAGCTACACACGTCGTGAATGTGGGTGTTTTTGGCCTTCAAAGACCATTTGGGAAAAAGAGGGTGAGGGAGGGGGGAGAGGAGGAAGAGGGGGGGTGGGTGGAAGGGGGGGGAGGGGTTCACGGGAGGGGAGTCTTTCGGTGGGTGGGTTTGTCGTCAGGTTCCTCAAAACACACCGTAGTGTGTCTTGAGATTATCACCTTGTGCCTCTACAGAACAACCATTCCACTTTCCACTACCCCGTTTTCCAAATGACCATCTCACTTGTTTGACTTAGTCTCCTCCAATCCCCATCTTGCGGCCCATCTTGCTCCCTCTCATGCCCCACAGTTAAATCACACGACTTTCCACTACGATCCTTTGAAGCAGATGAAAACCCCAACATCCATGCATTATGACCATTTTACGGACTGGGTTGGCAGACCGCAAGATGAGCCGGTGCAATTTCTTGGTGTGCACTTTCAAGGGCCCAGAAAGGCGACGATAATGCAACCAGACCCATCCAGGCATTGGGGCTCAAGCCCTGATTGATTTACTTGCTTCCCATAGCCCATCATTAGATTGTACTACATTTCTAATTGAATAGTTTCGGGTTCATTTCTACTTGTGGTTGGTGCTGTGTTACCGGCAGCTTATGATAATATCGGTCAGCCCTCAATCGACTCAACAGAAGGCGCGGCATATCACGATTGACGAATCGAGCCAGCCTGCTCTGGCTCACCATTGGCTTCTAGAATGTAGACTGCAGACATTTCAGCCGTTGGTTGTCTAACCTAGACTGCTACAGATAGCCCGCAATACACTCTGACCTAGTTTGTCTGGCAGTTGGTCTTTGACAACATCTTTGACGACATCGCGCTTGAGGCAAACTCTTGCGTGCAACTGTTATGTTGTCCAGCATCGCGCTTTGACGAAATCGTTGTAGACTTGCCCTACTACTACCACTGCCTCCGCTACCCCGCGAAACGCGCCAACCATGGCGTTGCCCGGCGTTCGCGGACGCGCCGTGTCGTAGACGCAATACGGACGCAACCGGCGATGGCGGAAAGCCGCATGCTACACTGCGTGATAGTAGCGTAGTTTTGAGACGTCAAGCGCGCCGAGTCGTAGACGCATTACGGACGCAACCGGCGATGGTGGAGAACCGCATGTTGCCTAGCGTGTGGAGCTAACGCAGTTAGAGAGGCGCCGCGTGTGTAGAGCTCAGGCATTTCTGTTGGCGCCGCGCCGAATTGCATTGCATTTCAAGGTAGAGCTCAGGCATTTCAAGGCATTTCAAGGCATTTCAAGGCATTTCAAGGCATTTCAAGGCATTTCAAGGCATTTCAAGGCATTTCAAGGCATTTCTGTTGGCGCCGCGTGTGTAGAGCTCAGGCATTTCTATTTCTGAGGCGCCTCAAAAATAGACACTGCTCAGGCACTCCTCAGGCACTCCTCAGGCACTCCTATTGGCGCCGCGCCGAATTGCGCGTTTCTGGCTCGATGATCGCTAGCGACTCGGGAGAATAAATAAAAAACATTGCGCGGATGGCGGGGGGGAGCGGCCCGGCTCCGATCTTCCTGGTGCTGACCGCGTTGTGCGTGAGTGGCCGGGCATGGGCGCCTGACTAGAGCCCCCCTTTCCCACAGAACAAGGACACAGAACACAGAACACAGAACACAGAACACAGAACACACGCGCACTTCCTCATCCTCTTCCTGGCGCTGACCGCGTTGCGCACGAGTAGAGGGGCATGGGCGCCCTTTTCGCTCTCTTAAAAAACCACCTGTCCCGCTCTTCCCTTTCGACCACCTGTCCTGCTCCTCCCTTTCGACCACCTGTCCCGCTCCTCCCTTTCGACCACCTGTCCCGCTCCTCCCTTTCGACCACCTGTCCCGCTCCTCCCTTTCGACCACCTGTCCCGCTCCTCCCTTTCGACCACCTGTCCCGCTCCTCCCTTTTAAGGCGCCTCAAAAGTAGTTCCCTCCCCCTCTTCCCTCCCCCTCTTCCCTCCCCCTCTTCCCTCCCCCTCTTCCCTCCCCCTCTTCCCTCCCCCTCTTCCCTCCCCCGTTCATTAGGCCTGCTGCCCATTCCTCCCCCCCCACCTGCCCCCTTTCCCCCCGGCCCTTGTCTGAGTCTCGCTGCTCCACCCACCCCTCCAAACCTCTACGCCCCCTGTCCCAACAGGGCGGTCGTACTCGCTATAGTCTTCCTCCTTTTCGCGGATGTGCTTTTGATCGGCCTCTTTGGCCGCTCCTCACTCGATGCAGCCACGGGAGGCTCTGCCTCCACGTCAGCATCCACGCCAGCGTCCACGTCAGCGTCCAACGTGTCAGCCATATCAGATCTTCTGCTGCAGGAGGAGAAGCGGCAGCAGCAGCTGCGTCAGCAGCAGGAAGATAAGGAGAAGCTTCCTCTCTTGACCCTCCTCGTGCTTAGTGCCAACGTTCCGGCAGCACATGCACCTCTGATTGTACCTCCTGCTAACGACGCTGCTGCTGTTGGTGGTGCTGGTGATGGGGCAGCAGCAGCAGCAGCAGCACCACAGGAATTATCAGAGGCTTCGTCAGCAGCAGCAGGAGGAGGAGCTGGGACAGCAGAGGCAGAGGCAGGAGGGCTTGTATCCAAAGGCGATAGCAGCGGCAGCAGCAGCAGCAGCAGCAGCGGGAGCAGCAGCGGTAGCAGCAGCAGCAGCAGTAGCGGCAGCCACGCTGGTCTGATTCCAGTGGTGCTCTTTCTACGGGGGAATCCAGGGTGCAACCGGGGAAGGTACATGCAGGCCTCCCTGCGCCAGGCGCTGCTGCTCAACACGTGGCTCATTCTCATTGGCCCGCGGGCTTGCAGCCAGGAAATGGGCGAGATGGGGGTAGAGTTGGAAGTCTATGAAGATTATGAGGGTAATTCGGGGATAGAGGAGCGATTTGTGACGGAGATAGGGAAAGTTATGGCCTACCACGTGCGGTGGTTTTTCTTATATGAAATGATGGTGCGAAGGAATATCTCGAGGGTGTTTTACACGGATAATGACGTGCTGCTGTTCGTTAATGTCACACAGTTCGTACAATCACACCTGCCAGAGGCGAAGCTCTCCCTGGCCATGCGGTCCAACAGCGTGCGCATCAGAGCAGTCAGCGGCCACGTCTCCCTCTGGTCTCAAGAGGCTCTGGCGGACTTCCTCGCCTTCTTCATTCTCTTCTTCCAGGCAAGTGCCAGTTCTGCTGGGTCTGTTGCTAGGTGTCAACACCAGGCAAGTGCCAGTTCTGCTGGGACTGTTTCTAGGTGTCAACATGGTGCTGCTGGGGTGGCGATACAAACCACATGGTCCGTATTCCTTCTGACACCCTCATTCCTTTGAGGCACCATCTCCTGCCCTTTGGGCCCCCCTATGCAGCAACCAGTGGCGGGTGGAAGGGCCGGAGACTCCGATTTTTGCCTTCCTTGTTAACTTACAACCACATGGTGCTGGTGGGGTGGTGCGTCCTTCATTCCCCCTCTCGCACTCAACCCTGCTCACCATCTCTATTTCTATTTCTGATTTCTGAAACCCTGCTCACCACCTCTTGCCCTTGGGTCCCCCTATGTAGCAAGCGGTGGCGGGAGGAAAGCCAGGAGACCCGTCTCTCCCCTCCCAGCGGGCATACAACGACATGGTGCTGCTGGGGTGGTATGTCAGCCACACGTGCTGGACCTCTGCGCCCGACCAACTGCCTAAAACTGTGAGTTCTTGGGATTCCCATTCCTACTTCTAGTGTACAACAGCATGCGGCATGGGGCATGGTGCTGCTGGGGTGGTATGTCAGCCACACGTGCTGGACCTCTGCGCCCGACCAACTGCCCAAAACTGTGAGTTCTTGGGATTCCCATTCCTACTTCTAGCGGACAACAGCATGGGGCATGGGGCATGGTGCTGCTGGCCACACGTGCTGGACCTTTGCACCGGCCAACTGCCTAAAACTATGAGTTCTTGGGATTCCCATTCCTACTTATGCGATCCATGGGATTACCTCAGCCCAGAACCCTCAGCCCAGAGCCCTCAGCCCAGAACCCTCAGCCCAGAGCCCTCAGCCCAGAACCCTCAGCCCAGAGCCCTCAGCCCAGAGCCCTCAGCCCAGAACCCTCAGCCCAGAACCCTCAGCCCAGAGCCCTCAGCCCAGAACCCTCAGCCCAGAACCCTCAGCCCAGAACCCTCAGCCCAGAGCCCTCAGCCCAGAACCCGAAGCCCAGAACCCGAAGCCCAGAACCCTCAGCCCAGAACCCTCAGCCCAGAACCCTCAGCCCAGAGCCCTCAGCCCAGAACCCGAAGCCCAGAACCCTCAGCCCAGAACCCGAAGCCCAGAACCCCCGCCTGAGGCTTCCATTCCACTGGCAGTGGCATGGACAGGACAGGGCACTGCCAGTGCCAGTGCAAGCTTTTCAACCTGTCCAATGGCAGTGCATCGCTGCACCGTGTGCACTTGAACCATAGGTGCACGGACAGGGCACGGCAGGTACGGACAAGGATTTGTCTTCTCAGTAACCCCGCCTGCATGGCAAGCTCGCCCCGGCAGTCTCTGTGATCTTTTGAGGCGCCTCAAAACCAGTCTCTGTGATCTTTTGAGGCGCCTCAAAACCGGTGTCTGTGATCTTTTGAGGCGCTTCAAAACCGGTGTCTGTGATCTTTTGAGGCGCCTCAAAACCGGTGTCTGTGATCTTTTGAGGCGCCTCAAAACCGGTGTCTGTGATCTTTTGAGGTGCCTCAAAACCGGTCTCTGTAATATTTTGAGGCGCCTCAAAACCGGTGTCTGTGATCTTTTGAGGCGCCTCAAAACCGGTCTCTGTGAGCTCTCAACAACATATTCTCCATGTTCCCCTTCCAATTGCTTTCCCCATGGCAGTGCAAAGACTAGGACAAGTCTTCTCCGTACCCACGCCTGCACGGCAATTTCACTTCAGCGTTCAAGGCCAAACCTCTCGAGGTGGTTTCAGCAACCGATTCTCCTCTTCCCCTGGTGCACTTGCTCGTTGTGGCAGTGCAAAGACAAGGAGAAGTCTTCTCAGTACCCGCGCCTGCACGGCAAGTTCACTCCGGCCTTCAAGGCCGTGTCCCTGTGCGCTCCAAGGCAGTGCCAAGCCACCGCTTGGAGCGATCCTGGCTGGTGCGCCTTTGACAACAACTTCTCCCTCACTGTGAGTTCTGGTTCGACGGCCCCTGCAACTTGGCAGTTGAAAGTTGCCGTGCTCACATAGGCAGTGTGAGGCGACGGCGTGGAGTGAACCTAGCTGGTGCACCTTCGACTACAACTTCTCAGCTGCGAATTGGGTCACATTATATGGCTTTAACCAGTCTAACATCCTTGTTTCTGCGGTGCCATTGTGCCACCTCTGTTCCCCATGGTAAATTCGCCGTCCAGGGCAAGAGGAAGAAGTTTCACTTCTGCCCGAAGCAAGCCATGAAGATTCCGACTTCAGTGCACTACGAGTATTTTAAACCCTTTGTGGGCAGGCAGCAGAACAAAGGGGAGAGTGTACAGTTTCTGGCTGTACACTTTCAGGGTAGGAAGAAAGCACAACTAAAGGACGAGGATCCTTGTGTAACATGGGGCTCTAGCAGGGACTGAAAATGCTTATGCTATCACTTGTCACAATCCATACATAGGTATTCGCTTTTCCTTCTACCGGTACATCTCTTTTATGTCTATAAGCTGTATTCTCTATGCACTCAGGTGCATATGACGACATCAGGGATGGTGACATGAAGAGGGGACGCCCCGGAGGACGATGATAAACACTACTGCAACGCACCCCACTACTGTGTATAGATCAACCACATGACATGACTTTTCAGTATGAACCACTCAGCAGACAGAGACCCCAACTTCCGTGCATTGCGACCACTCTATGGACTGGGTTGGCAAGCCGCATTAGGTACAGTTTCTCTATGTGCACTTTCAAGGGCACTGAAAGCCGTCGATAGTGCAATCAGTTCAAACCCGTCAAGGCATTGGATTTCAAGCTCTAATTAGTTCTCAGCTTTTGAATTTGCTTTACCTAATAGAGAAAGCAATGTGTATGGGTTTGCACCCTCAATATAATTTATACCCCATTTTTTCCTGGCTTGTAATTCTCATCGGTCACCCCTCAATCGACTCGGCTACAAGCGAAATTGACTTGGCGCCACATTTTCCACGCTTCGCGCCACCTTCCAATCAGCGCCGCAGTGCATTCCGAAGCACAACCGTCGCGATTGGTCGAAAAAACGAGCAGATACGGGCATGTCCCAAGTGTACGTCCCCAGTACGGTTTAACGAGTTTTCTCTAGGTTCAAAACGTTTTAGTCGGTTTTGGCATGTTTCAAAGTGGTGAAGCACGATACCCAGTCGGTTCTCGGAACCCGAGGTTTCACCGCGCAGTCAAATACTTGACCTGGACAGCTACAGCAGCAGCGATGGCAGAATGTGTAAGCTACCTCGCCTGCGGCAGTACGCGAGGGTGGTTGCTTTTGAGTCTACTAAAAAACCTCGCCCGCAATGCTGAAGGATTCGAAACGTGGTTGACACGAGATGATTGGTTCGCGGAGCTTCTACCTGAACCTCAGAACGTGTGACTTTTGAATCGACTCAAAAGCCACCTCGAGGATTCGGACTCGGAGGGTGGCTTTGAGGCGCCTCAAAAGTCGGAGGGGTGTTAACAAGGGGATTGGTTCGCGGAGCTCTCGACCGGAAGCTCAAAACTTCTGACTGGGGCTACTTCGCGGCAATGGCGGCGTCATTATCATCACGCGGCGACCCATCATCGCGCGGCGACCTATCATCGCGCGGCGGCGTTTCTAGCTCGCGATCCAAGTCGCTCGGGCGACTTAATCAAACAGCGGCGGCGTGGATGGCGGGGCGGAGTGGGCCGGCTACTGTCCTCCTCCTCCTCCTGCTGACCGCCGCTTGTGCGTGAGTAATAGCCCGTGGGACATTCTTCCAGTGACAGATTTATTAGAGTTCTCCATCATTAGAGTTCTCACGCGCCACATTCTTCCAGTGACAGATTTATTAGAGTTCTCCAAAATCTCTCCGCACGAGTCTCCAGTGACAAAATCTCTCACGCGCCACATTCTTCCAGTGACAGATTTATTACACGCGGTTTTTGAGGCGCCTCAAAAATCTCCAACATCTCTCACGCGCCACATTTCTTCCAGTGAACGCAGTGGTAAAGCCATTTGGAATGTCCGACGATCCGCTGTGCCGCCGCGGCGTGAGTACTACTAGTAGCAGCGGGCATTTGAGTCGTGCAAGAGTCACCTTGAGAGCATAGTAGCCCACATCATTGCGCCCATGGCGGGGCGGAGTGGCCCAGCGTCTTTCCATCCATCCTCCTCCTCCTCCTCCTCCTCTTCCTGCTGCTGCTGCTGCTGACCGCATTGCGCGTGGCTAGCGGGGCGGGCATGGTTCCCCTTACCCTTCTCCCGCCCTTCTTCCCCCCAACCCTTTGTTCCCCCTACCCTGCTTCCCCGCTCTGCCTGTCCCCCTAATCCCTCCCCCGTCCATTCGACTTGCTGCCCCTCCCCCCACCCCTTTCCCCCCACCCCTTTCCCCCCACCTCTTTCCCCCCACCCCTTTCCCCCCACCCCTTTCCCCCCACCTCTTTCCCCCCACCCCTTTCCCCCCACCCCTTTCCCCCCACCTCTTTCCCCCCACCCCTTTCCCCCCACCCCTTTCCCCCCACCCCTTTCCCCCCACCCCTTTCCCCCCACCCCTTTCCCCCCACCCCTTTCCCCCCACCCCTTTCCCCCCACCCCTTTCCCCCCACCCCTTTCCCCCCACCCCTTTCCCCCCACCCCTTTCCCCCCACTTGTCCCCTTTCGTCCCCCATTTCAAAGTTTCCCCTCACCATCCTCCCCCCAACCCACTACACTCCACCACCCCTGCAGGGCAGTCGTACTCGTTATAGTCTTCCTCCTTTTCGCGGATGTGCTCCTGATCGGCCTCTTCGGCCGCTCCTCACTCGATGCAGCCGCCACTGGAGGCTCTTCCTCCCTGTCCACGTCAGCATCCTCCCTGTCCACGTCAGCATCCCCATCATCAATCAGCTCATCCGCCTCATCCGATTTGCTGCAGCAGGAGGAGAAGGGACAGCAACAATTACAGCAGCAGCAGCAGCAGCCGGGGCAGCAGCTACAGCAGCAGGGGCAGCAGCTGCAGCAGCAGCAGGAAAGGAACGAGAAGCTTCTTCCGTTGACCCTCGTCTTGCTTGGCACCAACGTTTCAGCAAATCGCGGACCTGACGCCGTACCCCCTGCTAACGCAGCTGGTGCTGCTGGTGCTGCTGGTGTCGGAGGTGGTGGTGGTGGTGGTGGTGGTGGTGGTGGTGGTGGTGGTGGTGCTGCTGCTGCTGCTGCTGCTGCTACCAGTGCTGCTGGTGAGGGTGCTGCGACTGCTACTGTTGCTACTGTTGCTACTACAGCTGCTACAGCTGCTACAGATGCTACAGATGCTACAGCCAAACCTTTCTCCCGGCCAGGTCTCAACTACCCCGGTCTCATTCCAGTGGTCCAGTTTATGCGGGTGAGGGCAGGCTGTAACCGGGGGGGGTACGTGAAACCCGCCCTGCGGCAGGCACAGCTGCTGAACACGTGGCTGATTCTCATTGGCCCACGCAAGTGCGTGCCAGAGATGGCCGTGCTGGGTGTACAGCTGGAACCGTACGAGGATTATGCGGGGGTAGAGAAGCAGTTTATAACGGGGATAGGGGAGCAGCCGGTGGCTTACCACGTGCGGTGGTTCTATTTGTATGAGATGATGGTTCGGAGGAACATCTCGCGCGTGTTCTACACGGACTGCGACGTGCTGCTGTTCGCTAATGTCACGCAGTTTGTACAGTCACACATGCCGGACGCCAAGCTTGCACTGGCTGTGCGGTCTGACAGTGTGTGCATGAGGGCGGTGGCCGGGCATGTGTCGCTCTGGACTCAAGAGGCTCTCGCAGACTTCCTCTCCTTCTTCCGCCTCTTCTTTCAGGTGAGTGATATGGGCTGGCACTGGGCATGTGGCATGGGCTGCCACTGGGCATGTGACATGGGCTGCCACTGGGCATGTGACATGGCCTGCCACTGGGCATGTGACATGGGCTGCCACTGGGCATGTGGCATGGGCTGCCACTGGGGCATGTGACATGGGCTGCCACTGGGCATGTGACATGGGCTGCCACTGGGCATGTGGCATGGGCTACCACTGGGCATGTGGCATGGGCTGCCACTGGGCATGTGACATGGGCTGCCACTGGGGCATGTGGCATGGGCTGCCACTGGGCATGTGACATGGGCTGTCACTGGGCATGTGGCATGGGCTGCCACTGGGCATGTGGCATGGGCTGCCACTGGGCATGTGGCATGGGCTGCCACTGGGCATGTGACATGGGCTGCCACTGGGGCATGTGGCATGGGCTGCCACTGGGCATGTGACATGGGCTGCCACTGGGCATGTGGCATGGGCTGCCACTGGGCATGTGACATGGGCTGCCACTGGGGCATGTGGCATGGGCTGCCACTGGGCATGTGACATGGGCTGTCACTGGGCATGTGGCATGGGCTGCCACTGGGCATGTGACATGGGCTGTCACTGGGCATGTGGCATGGGCTGCCACTGGGCATGTGACATGGGCTGCCACTGGGCATGTGGCATGGGCTGCCACTGGGCATGTGACATGGGCTGCCACTGGGGCATGTGGCATGGGCTGCCACTGGGCATGTGACATGGGCTGTCACTGGGCATGTGGCATGGGCTGCCACTGGGCATGTGACATTCCCTCGCACACACGCATTCCCTCGCACACACGCTTTCCCTCGCACACACGCATTCCCTCTCACACACTCATTCCCTCTCACACACTCATTCCCTCTCACACACTCATTCCCTCTCACACCTCATTCCCTCTCACACCTCATTCCCTCTCTCTGCCATGCCTTCTAACTAACCCACCGCAACATGGTGCTACGGGGGTGGTACCTCATTCACTGCCTTGTGAGCCGCCTCTAAAGCCGCCTCCGAAGTTTTGAGGTGCCTCTAAAGCCGCCTCCGAAGTTTTGAGGTGCCTCTAAAGCCGCCTCCGAAGTTTTGAGGCGCCTCTAAAGCTGCCTCCGAAGTTTTGAGGCGCCTCTAAAGCCGCCTCCGAAGTTTTGAGGCGCCTCTAAAGCCGCCTCCGAAGTTTTGAGGCGCCTCTAAAGCCGCCTCCGAAGTTTTGAGGCGCCTCTAAAGCCGCCTCCGAAGTTTTGAGACGCCTCCAAAGCCGCCTCCGAAGTTTTGAGGCGCCTCTAAAGCCGCCTCCGAAGTTTTGAGGCGCCTCTAAAGCCGCCTCCGAAGTTTTGAGGCGCCTCTAAAGCCGCCTCCGAAGTTTTGAGGCGCCTCTAAAGCCGCCTCCGAAGTTTCGAGGCGCCTCTAAAGCCGCCTCCGAAGTTTTGAGGCGCCTCTAAAGCCGCCTCCGAAGTTTTGAGGCGCCTCTAAAGCCGCCGCTAAAGCCGCCTTTGAAGTTTTGAGGCGCCTCTAAAGCCGCCTCCGAAGTTTTGAGGCGCCTCTAAAGCCGCCTCCGAAGTTTTGAGGCGCCTCTAAAGCAGCCTCCGAAGTTTTGAGGCGCCTCTAAAGCCGCCTCCGAAGTTTTGAGGCGCCTCTAAAGCCGCCTCCGAAGTTTCGAGGCGCCTCTAAAGCCGCCTTTGAAGTTTTGAGGCGCCTCTAAAGCCGCCTCCGAAGTCTTGAGGCGCGGTCCTCTCTCTTGCCGTTCCTTGGAACCCACAGCGACATGGGTGCTGCTGAGGTGAGGTGGTGCCTCGTTCACTCCCACTCCCCCACTCACTCGCTCCCGCCCACCCACTCATACCTTCTCACAATCTCATGCCCCCAAATGCTTGCCCACCCACCCGCTCGCTTGCTGCCTGGGTCCCCCAAACGCAGCAAGCGGTGTTGGGAGGAACGCCAGGAGACCTCTTCCTCCCTTCCCTTCGAATATACAACGACATGGTGTTGCTGGGGTGGTATGCGAGCCACACATGCTGGACCACCCCTCCCGACCAACTACCAGAGATTGTAAGCTTCTGAAAATGCCTCCCCACACCCCTCACCCCCCCTTCTCCCCCCCGCACCCCTCCCACCTATCTGCCGTCCTTTTGAACCTACCATAACTTGGTTCTGCTGGGGTGGCACGTCAACCACACCTGCTGGACCACCCCTCCCAGCCAACGCCCACAGACTGTAAGTTGAACTTATCCCCCTCCCCACACTCCCCCCAGACTCCCCCCTGAGAACCTACCTTTGAGGCGCCTCAAAACTACACTCTCCCCCCCCACACCTCCCCCAGCACTCCCCCAGCACTCCCCCAGCACTCCCCCAACACTCCCCCAACACTTCCCCCACCTCCCCCCACACTCCCCCAACACTCCCCCCCCCACCTCCCCCCACACTCCCCCTTGAGAGCAGAGCTCCTGTGTGCTTGCAACAGCAGTATCACCGTCTCTTCCTGCCTCTTCTGCTGCCTCGTTCCCCCCCTGGCAGTGCAAAGACAAGGAGAAGCCGGCCCAGTACCTCCGCCTGCACAGCAAGCTGAAGTGAACTTGCACGCCCACTGCATGACACCCCCTATGATCTTGCAATCCCTTCCCTGGCAGTGCAAAGACAAGGAGAAGCCGGCCTAGTACCTCCGCCTGTACGGCAAGTTCACTCCGGCATTCAAGGCCGAGGCTCTCTGCGCTTGCAACAACAATATCACTCGCTGTTCCCTCCTCAGTTGTTCCCTCGTTCGTTCCCCCCCTGGTAGTGCAAAGACCAGGAAAAGTGGGCCCATTGCCTCTCCTTCCGTCACCCCGGCGTGCACGGCAAGCTGACACCCCCTTTGTTCTTCCACTCCCTTCCCTGGCAGTGCAAAGACAAGGAGAACTTAGCCCAGTACCTCCGCCTGCACGGCCACTTCACTCCGGCCTTCACTGCAGAGTCTCTCTGTGCTCCCAGGCAATGCGAAGCCACCACTTGGAGCGACCCTGGGTGGTGCGCTTTTGACAACAACTTCTCGCTCACTGTGAGTGTTTACTGTAGCTCCATCACAGCATGACGGTACTATCTAGGCAGCTTCACTCCGGCCTTCAGAGCCAAGTCTGTTCGCGCTCTTAGGTGGTGCCAAGCCACCGCTTGGAGTGATGCTGGCTGGTGTGCCATTGACAGCAACTTCTCCCTCGCTGTAAGCCTGGGCTCTGGCTTTCTCAAGGGTTGTTATAAGCACTGTCAATAGAATGCTAGTATGTGTTTTGCAACGAAGCAACTTACCTGGTGCAACGAGGCAACTTGCCTTGCGCATCTCTTCCCACTCTTTCCACTGCCCTCTATGTATGTATGCATCCCCATTCCAGGGCAGGAAGAAGTTTCATTTCTGCCCAAAGCAAGGTATGAAGACACCAACCTCGGTGCAGTACGAGCATTTCGAAGATTTCGTGGGCAGGGAGCAGAACAAGGGGGAGAGTGTACAGTTTCTGGCAGTACACTTCCAGGGTAGGAAGAAAGAGCAACTTAAGGATGAAGACCCTTGTGAAACATGGGGCTCTAGTAGGGACTAAAAAATATTAATAATTTCCTACTACAAGCCATGTATGCACATATAATGATGCTTTCAGGCACTTTCTGAGTTGTTTGAGCTCTATTCTATATGAGTGCTACAATTGTCCAAATCCAGAATATGGTAATTCAACACATCTCTTCAGAGTGTAGTCATTGCTGCAGTGCAACCAACCACCCCGAGAAGGGCCATTGGGCTTGGGGAAACCACTCTGCATGGCAGTGAATCAGCGATGGTAGCTGCAAGGTTGGATGGGGTGCGGATGGGTTCTGGCTGGGCTCGTCTGCCTACAGTGCGGTTTCTGCTGCAATGCTCCCCACTACCCCACGCAGGGATACTGGGCTGGGAGCAGCCACTCGGACCCACACTCGGTGCACGCGAGGGAGAGCCGTGCGGACCGTGGCAGCAATGGCGCAGGCGAGAGGAGCAAGGGAGGAGGGGGAGGGTGACCCTCGACCTGCTGCCGTGCAATGCTGGTAATGGGTGGGGAGAGGGGGAGGGGGGGAGAGGGGGGGAGGGGAACAGAAGGAACAAGGGAGCAGTTAGAAAGGAGGGGAAGGGTGACCCTCAACCTGCTGCCGTGCTATGCTGGTGGAGGGTGGGGAGAGGAGGAGGGGAGGGGGGGGAGGGGGGAGGGAAAGAAACAGAAGGGGCAAGAGAGCAGTTAGAAAGAAGGAGTGAGGGAGGAGGAGAGAGGGTGACCCTCAACCTGCTGCCATGCTATGCAAGAGTAAATGAGTAGGACGGGGAGGTGGGGGAGGGGAGGGGAAGAAGGGGGGGTGGGGGGGTGGGCAGAGGAGGAACGGAAGGGAAAGAGCAGCGAGGTTCACCCGCGCACCCACCCACCCACACACACATGTAATGCACCATAAACGGGACCAGACCCCTTATACTCCACAAGCAAGCAAGAAAGGAAGAGCACACTCACTCGTAGATCTCCCCATAATCCACCGAGTCTTGAAGCTCATCGGACTCTGCTGCAGCAGCAAGGTCAACCCACGCACACATGTCCACCTCGATTCTCGGGCCAAACATGCATGCACCAAACGACCCTCGTTCTGCACCTTTGCCTCTTCTCTCTCCCCCCTCACTTCCCCCTTCGCCCTCCTGTCTCTCTCCCCCCTCACCTCCCCCTTCACCCTCCTGCGTCTCTCCCCCCTCTCTTCCCCCAGCCCCGCCCTGGCAATAAAACACCAGCCCCTCCAAAACCAGCATGCTGCTCTCCCTATCCACCGCCACCACCACCGAAATCTCTTTCTCTTCTGCATTCTGTGCATTCTTTGCAGTGCTGCTCTCCCCAACCACCACTGCCACCATGCCCGTGTGGCCCTGCTCTCCCCCTCCTTTCTCCTCCTCCCCTTCTTTCTCTTTCTCGTTCTTCCCTGTTTCGCTGGCGTTCGATCGATCATCCTCCCTTCTGCCTGTGGGAAATGGACGGATCGAAAGCGTCTAGCCACTTGAGCCAACGGTATGAATTCTGATTCTGCAAAATAACATTCTGAAATAGACTTGCTGTTGGTGATTTTAAATAATTACATTACCAAAAAAAAAAAAAAAAAACTCACAGTGTTTGTCTGTGGCACTCCAGCTGGACTCCCACGGATTTTAGCACCCCTGAGAACGCGACGTGTGGCTTGCTGACGCGGACTGCCACGCGTGCCAGCGCAGGACACGTCAGCAGCAGCTGGCGGGCCACGGAATATGCAACGCTTTCCAATAGGAGGTGAGGGGCGCCCGTTAATTCTGTGCGGACAATGCTGGAACGGGAAAAGTTGGGGGAAAGGTAGTAAGAAGGGGAGGGAAAGGGGAGGGAGGACGGACAATGCCGAATTTGGGCGAAGGGGGAAGGGGGAAAGAGGAGAGGGCGGGGAGACGGGGCGGAGGGGAAAGGGAGGATCAGGGCGGGGGACCCAGGGGAACCAATAGGGGGTGAGGAGAGGGGCGCCATGAAATTTAGCACAGATAATGCTGGGATGAGGGGAAGGACAGGGAAAGGGGAGGGAGCACGGGCAATGCTGGAAAGGGGAAGGTTAGGGGAAAAGAGAGGAGGGAATGACGGGCAGGCGGTTAAGGGGGAATGTATCGCGGTAAACCGGGGGAGGGGGGGGAGGGGAGGGGGTGGGGGGGGAGTGGGGAGTGGGGAGTGGGGAGTGGGGGAGGGGAGAGGGGAGAGGGGAGAGAGGAGAGGGGAGGATGGAGGAAGAGAGTTAGGGGGAGGCAGTGGGATGGGCATAAGGCAGAAGCAAGATGGCAATGATCCCTACCTGTACACATGGGAGTAATCAACCGATCGTTCTTGTAACGAATGTTCTTGTGAAAAGGTCTCTCGCGAGGGTTTTTCCTTCGACGAATCTCCTTGTAACGGATCTTCTTGTAACGAATGCTCGTGCGGCGAAATTGCCAGCCACATCCACGTGTCGACGACGAATTTCTGCCCCAAAACGCGTTCCTCGGGCAGAACGCCGTGAAACCCGTGAAACACCATTCCCTCGAGCGACACGTGGCTCGTATCCTTATTTGCCACGTGGATTCCTCCTCCGCTGCATGGCGGCGGAATCGGCATCAGTCGAGCTAGAAGTGTCCTCCGCAATTCCAGTAGGAAGTTCTTTTCTGGCGAATGTCGGATTATCGCTACAAGGAAGTTGCTAGGTCGCACACTAACTACGGGGACCCGTATTGTTCAAACCTACTCTGGTTCTGCGGGAATGCACCGCCAAATTATAATTTCTATCCTGCAAATGTCGCATGTGCACCGATTTGGAGTCGATTCAAAAGCAAAATGAGTCTGCTTTTGAGTCGACTCAAAAGCAGAATGATAATTCCTATCCTGCAAATGCCGCGTGTGCACCGATCTCCAGGCTCCGCTATTACACATTTCCATAAGATGTATAAACAAGAAACGCAATCAATCATCCTTGTGTGCTTTTTTACCATGAAAAATATCATCTATCATCTTTTGTTTCTTCTTTGTCACACCTAGCTTTCCTTCGCCTCTTTCCCCCTCTCCAGTGGAACCTGCCCTTCTCGTCCGATTTGTGGGCCTATCCCCCTCGATCGCCGCCATCTCCGGGACAGCTCTGTGACCACCCACTCGTCCAGGGGCGGTTGATACAGACCCCCTTGATGCAGTAGAGGTAGCAGTAGCTGAGCGATTTCCAACTGCACCGCATTGGCAGCCAAGCGATTCGCAGCATAGGCTGTACCCATGACGTCGCGACACCGCTTACTGGCCTCTGCATGGTCCACAACTGGGTGTGGGTGAGGGATGAAGAGGAGGAAGACAGGGAAAGCGGTTATAAAATCACATGTCCAAGGCCACATCACGCTAGGATAATCCAGAAGTGTGCACAGGCGCGAAGGGAAGGAACACAATGTAAGCGCAAAAGGAAGGCCAGCGGAGAAGTTAATTTGTGAGGAAAGGGGCCAGCGGTGGAACACATCGTAAAACGGAGCGCCTAGCATATTTCCACCATTTTGAGAATTCTCACTTGGAAGAGGGTAGTCCTTTCCAAGGATGCACTTGGCCCTGCGTTGCACGGCCAGTGGTGCTGTCCAGGGCTCATAGATGTACTGCGCTGGCATATCTGGGGGAGGTGGACAGAAAGGGAAGGATAGTTGCTGCGTCGTTGGCCCTGCGTTGGCCCTGCGTTGGCCCTGCGTTGGCTCTGCGTTGGCCCGCGCTGCACAACCATGGGTGCAGTCCATGCCTCGTACACATGCCTGGGGACTAAACACCACGGAAGGGCAACATGCCGAGGCGTGAAGAAGACTCGGCTCAAGAAGAAGTGTTAATGCTGTACTGCCTGGGAAATACCTTTGAGCACAGGTAGGAAGTGCCGAACGAACTTCCCGAGGGTCATATTTCTTGCCGAAGGTGATGGGCGAGTAGATGCGGTGGTACTGAGAGAAGAAGGCAGAGGCGAGAGCCAGAGCCAGTTGCCGTTGTTGATGGCCCAGTCAGAGTCGATCAGCAGCCGGTCAAACACGTCCCGGCCAACTCCCAGTGCACCAGCTGTGTGGATCAGGAGGGGAAAGGGGATCAACATGGCGTCTCAAAGCGTCAGATGGTCAAACACGTCCGCCCCAACTCCCAGTGCACCAGCTGTGCAGATCAGGAGGGGAAAAGGGTCCACATGGCGTCTCAAAGCGTCAGATGGTCAAACATGTCCCGCCCAACTCCCAGTGCACCGGCTGTGCAGATCAGGAGGGGAAAGGGGTCCACATGGCGTCTCAAAGCGTCAGATGGTCAAACACGTCCCGCCCCAACTCCCACTGCACCAGCTGTGCGATTGTGACTGGAAGGAGAGAGGGGCGGCAAGAAACAGACGGGCTTTAAGGCGGCTCAGAGTCGATCGGCAAGCGGCCAAACGCGTCCGCCCCAACTCCCAGTGCACCAACTGCGTGTTCCGGAGGGGTGGGGGCGATCAAGGCACCAACTTGAAGGTACAGAGACTCAGGGGAGGCCAAGGAATAGACACGCAGCCCTTCTGTCATTAACAAATAAGGAGTAATGATCACACGTTAAGTGGTGGACAGATTAAGTTAAGCACAACCCAGTCACAAGCTGGGGCGATCAAAGCAAGTCGTGGCAACCTCTCAGCAGGCAGTCACCAGGTCGCCTCCGAGTGAGGAAGCAAGCCATGCAGTGACGCGCCAGGTGCCATCAGACAGTCCAAAACAGGGTACCAGCAAGCACACACATAAACACACGCACCCACACCATGCCACAGCGAGCACTCACCAGGTCACCTCGAGTGAGGAAGCATGCCACGCAGTGACGTGCCAGATGATGCATCCAGCCCCACTGCTGCAACTGTGAGAGAGAGGCGAAGGGGACGGAGGCAAGGACAAGGTTAGTAGAGCTTGTTGGGTATACAGCGCTGTAATGCACCAAGTAGGGTCTGCACCAGTCAATTCCTGCACTACAGTTCTCTTTTGTGGTGTTGACTGAAAAAGCATGCACCAGACATTACCTGCACCAGGCATTACCTGCACCATTAATAGCCTGCACCAGCAATTGCCTGCACTAGTAACTACCTGCACCCAGTATTACTGGCACCTACCTGCACCAGTAACTACTGCACCAGTAATTACCTACACCAGCCATTACCCGCACCAGTAACTACCTGCACCAAAAACTACCTGCACCAGTAACTACCTGGACCAGTAACTACCTGGACCATGATGGCGTCGATCCACGGAAAGCCTGTCCTGGCATCTCTCCAAGCAGCAAGCAACTCAGATCTTCCTTCCAGGGGATCTGCCTGCAGATGGCGCTGCCCTGCATCCTGTCAAAGTTAGGCGTGCCGAACGAAGCCGTGTAGAAGAACTCCCGCCACAGCAGCTGGAGTGGGAGGAAGGGGAGGGGAGGGGGGCGGAAGGGGGGCGAGGAGGTCAGAATCCTCCTTCCAGAGAATCTGCCTGCATAAGCAGCTGCCCTGCATCCTGTCAAAGTTCGGCATGCCGTACGACACCATATAGAAGAACTCCCGCCACAGCAGCTGGTGAGCTGCGCAGGGGAGACGCGGAAATGAGTGGAAATTAGTCGAGAGCCAACGGCAGCAAGCAGGTCAGGGCACATCGTGACAAAGTTGGAGTGCCATACGAGTTTGTAAAGACAAACTCCCACCACAGCAGCACCCTACACATACGAGCCTCCCTCAGGTTGAGTTGAATCTCTTGCCAACCCTCTGAGCTGCCCTCCCCAGCACTCATCTCTAACCCAACCAGCAGCAGGCCACCTCTAACCCTCATCACCTCGAACCCCCTAAGCTGTCAACCCGCTACCTGTCCTCCCTCCCCGGCACTCAGCATTCACCTGCCCTAACAGGGACACTGGAGGTTTGGTGTGGCCGGGCACTCGAGCAAGCACTTCTTGTATGCGCGCATACATGAGGCGAGAGGATAGGCAGCCAAACTGGTGTGGGGTGGAGCGGGAGGGGGGTGGGAGCGGGAGGGGGGGTGGAGTGGAGGGGAGAAGTGGGGGGGGGAAGTGGAGGGGGGAAGTGGGGGGGGGGAGTAGTGAAGTGGGTGGGGAGAAGGGAGGGTTGGACTTGAACGAGCACCTCTTGTAAGCGGGCATACGTGAGGCGAGAGAAGAGGCAGCCAAACCGGTGGGGAGGGGGGAAAGGAGGAAGGGGCTGGAGGGAGGTAGGTAAGGGGAAGATAGGAGAAGAAAAGCTGGCAAACTGGCTAAACTCTGGGGGGCAGCAAAACCTATTGGATGGCGGAATCAATGAGGCGAGAGAAGAGGTAGTCAAACCAGTGGGGCAAGGGGGGAAACAGATCTGGATTGGAGCCGAAAGCTCCAAGTGAAGGAGGTAGAAAGAGAGAAGATGAGGAAAGAATCTATGGCACCTTGAGGTAAGGAGAGAGCACAGTGGTGGCAGGAGGAGTGAGGGCGGAAGGATCACCCTTGGGCTTCTCAAACTCCTTCACCCATTTCTGTGACGAAGGGAGGGGTTGGATTGGGGGGAGGGCACGTAGACAGCCTTGGCTTGAGGCACCTCTCGAGGTACCCATGCGAGGCACGGAAAAGCATGAAAAAGGCAGAAACGAGGGTTAGTACAGTGCCAGGGCAACAGCAAGGGAAAACGGTAAAGGAGAGGTTGAGGGTGGGGTGTCAGGAGGAGGTCAAGGGCGATGACATTAAGAAAAGGTGGTGGTGGTGCTGCTGCTGTGCATACCGTCCGTGAGAGGCAGTCGTCAAGCCGGCATAGAGCCTCTGTCTCCCCCCCTCGGAAAGGAGTGACGTCCTGTAAGGGAGGGCAGGGGCGTACAGGTGCGCAGGTGACCAATGAAACACGGAATTATATCATTTTGTGCATCGGCCATGAAGAAAATGGGTCACATAAAAAAGCCCACGGTGCATAAGTTTGGGCCTGCATTGCCCAAGGCTCATCTTTCCAACTTACGCCAGCACTCTTCTCCCCTCTCTTCCGTCCACTTTCCCCCCGGCCCAGCCCTTCTTCTCTAATCCCCTCCCCCTCCTCACCTCTCCCACGCCCCCCATTTTCTCTGCACTTACCTCCTCTGGGGAAGCCTCGGCATCCGAATACCCAAGGTCGCTCAAAGCAGGCACTTCAAAGACCTCGATATGATCACAATTCCGTGCATCCCCTGCTGCTTCTTCCGTTTCTGCTTTTATTCTCCCCCCTGGTAGGGTCCCCCAGCCACGAGGTCTGGAGGAAGGGGCGGTAGTTTGTCTGGAGCGGGTCCGACGGGCGGCGAGGGTTGTCCTACTCGCTTGCAGAAAGCTTGGTATGTGAGGGGAGGCTTGCCTCCGTTCTAAGCGAGAAAAAGGGATTAGAGAGAGAAAGAGAGTGAGGGGAGAGAGAGGGGGTGGGAAAGAGAGAGGGGGTGGGAAAGAGAGAGGGAGTGAAAGAGAGAGGAGTAAGGGAAAGAAGAGGACGGGAGAAAGTCATAGAACAGTAGATTAGCTTTGGAATTGACGTCAGTGGGTGATACACGACCGTATGAACACCAAGTTCTTTTCTTCACTTCTAACTTCTAAAGCAAAGAAACAGTATGGACTCGACGTACAAGCACTGGCTATGTTCAGCCTCGCTCTCCTGCCTCGGACAATTTCAGTTGGCATTTTAGAACCCTCAAAAACCAACTGCAACTCTCGCAGAGAATACCATATGGACGATGTCAGTTGAAACTTTAAATTAAAAAATAATCCACCCCTTCCTCAGAAAATACCATGCGGATGACTTCAGCAGGGTCGAATACAGTATGGCTGACAGGAGTAACAACCTCCACCCCTGCCTCTTGCATGACCGCCTGAAGTGGAGGAAAAGGGAGCAAGGGGGGAGGGAGAGGGGGGCGGTGGGGGGATAGTGTGGGGGTTATGGCTGACAGGAGTAACAACCTCCACCCCTGCCTCTTGCATGACCGCCTGAAGTGGAGGAAGAAGGAACGGGGGAGGGGGGAAGGGGAGAGGAGAAGA